TCCCCATCATGCCCCTGCCACATAGACCATAGACAAACCAGGATTTTTGTTGGCTCAATCGCCCGAACCTTTGGAGGGGTCTCCTAGGAGTTTAGAAGGTCAGAAGTGAAGCTCAGGTCTCAGCCGAGGAGTGCGAGATGGGGGCCAAGATCTTGAAAGAGGCCTTGGAGGCCGAGCTGAGACTGCAAGCTATGGAAGGAACCCAGCCCAGGTGGTGCGCTTCCCTTTTTGGATAAGGGGTGAACAGTTTTGCCCTTAGCACCATACATGTTTTGACGAAAGAGAGGACCATTTTGTCAGGGAGTTTGTTTTGGGTGGTCCCTATCAGTTTATTGTGGTAGTTTAACAGCTCTGCACAGAGTGCTTTGAAATTGGACACGAGGAGCGACCAAATCGGGCCGAAGGCTCACCAAACGTATTTTCTCCGGTTTCCATCCAGCAGCCGGCCAATGGCAAAGGGGTTGGACGCCAGATTCGGGACTTCCAACCCCAAAAATGGTTCCTCGGCATATTGACATGAGACCCCAAAAAAAGCTTCGAGGAGAGGGGACCCCGGAGCTGGCCTTTCAGTCAGAGCATGCCGCTCCGAAGGCATGCCTCTCCGAGTGAAGCCCGGGTGCCCAGAAATCACCCGAGGGACCCAGTTGCAACGGCGGCGTGTCGGTTGGATGGAGCAGTCTCCGGGGAAAAGCTGGCATGTTGCTTGGCAATGTGGGGGAACCAAGGTCATCATTTGGACCGCTTGTTGTTTTGGGTTGTCAAAGTCAAACACTGGAAACGTTTCCCTCTACCCAGCCAGTTCGGGACTTTGCTAGAATTCTGGAGTTAGGAGAAGGTATGGCAAATTGGCCCTACCTTTCCTCAATTGCCTGCAAGGACTTGGGAGGTTCCACAGTTCCAGAGCCATTTCCTTGCGACATGGTTAGATGAAGTGCAGGGGGAACCTCCAACCATAAACTGGCGCGGTGATCCGCGCTTGCGATTGCTTACGCGGCTTGGGAAGGAACTCAGTGATGCGATTGTGACACAGATTCGGCAGTTCGACTGCACACAACCGCCAGAATCAGAGGACAGAGCGGCACAGTTGTCAGATGTTTGTGGTATTTTGATGATATTCGTGCCGCGCCAAATCCCAGGTCGAGTGCGATGAGTCGGTTTGGTGCGATGAGTGCTTGGGACGCGGCTCGTTTCCTTATGGTTCTGCTTTTGTGGCCGACATCCAAAGCCAGATGTTGGGCAAGCACAGTGCTTGCTCTTCAGGCCGTTGCTTTAAGTTTAAACTGCCAAAAGATGTGCGGGTTGGAAGTTTGGGGGCTAGCCCCCTCTGAACTGGGTATGGTTCCCCCTATTTTGACGCAGATGCCCAACTCCTCTGTGCGAGTCGCGAGTCGCCAACCTCCGCCATCGATGGCTCGAAATAGCGGCAAGGCGAATTTAAAGAGTTGGAACCTGAGTGGTTGAGCAATCCCAACCGAATTCTGTCTAACGTGTCCCTGGTTCATCCCTGGTTTAGTTTCCTGGGACAAGGACACCTCCCCAATCCCAAGTTGACTCCGGGCGGACGTTTGATGTTTCTCTTGTGCACTTGTCTCATGTTCTGGCACCGTGTTTTGGGAATTGGGTGGAAGCAACCGTCAGTTTCTGTGACACAAGACAATCACTTTGAGCGTAACAAAGGGTTCCTGTTCGGTTGCAAGGAATGAAGCCCTGCAGGACCCCAATGTGCTTTTTGGCCGGAATTTATCACTGTACTGTTTTCCTTTTTCTAGGGAAATTAAGTTAATGGCAGTACAGGGTGTAATTCCCTTTGGGAGAAACCAAATCGAACCCCCGCGCATTTGTCACTCGTGCCATTGCGGCATGGAGCGTCCGGGTCTTCCGGTAGCTTGGCGGAGGAACCGATCTACGCGAATTGTCTTTGTGGGTTGAAAAGAAGGAATCTAGAATCTAGGGGAAAAGGAGGGGGGCTGAAACCAGCGATGGATCCAAGTCTAGCAATGGATCCAAGTCTCATTGGTTCAGGAATTGTGAGAGCAGATTGCTGGCCGAATTGTCCGTTTCTTTGCCAGCCCGATATCTTGGGAGCTCCTTGGGGGGCTTTTAAGGAAGGGGAAGCCAAAGGGAAGCCAACGGGAAGCCAAAGGGAAACAACGCGATTCCAGGCAGCAGTGGACCAGTTGGGATGGATGCACCCCCCACAAATATTAAGGTTTCCAGCACCAAGGTAACCAGCACCCTGGAACCCTTCTAAGCCCCCTAAACCGGCCCTAACGCAGCCTGAAGTCAACTGCGTCAAAACAACCTTACACACCAACAGATGAACCCGAGTGCCAACCGCCTCAAATCGAACCCAGCCCAAAAACCCAGAAGCCACGCGCCAAACTCGTCCGAACGGCTCCAAAAAGCTGAGCTGCTTGCCGCGGAATTCGGACGCGAGGTGTGCATCATCACGGGCTTTCTGGGCTCCGGCAAGACTACGCTGCTGAACCACATCCTGCGCAATCAGCAAGGCAAAGGGGGGTTTGGTGGGTTTTGGTGGGTCATGGTGGGTTTTGGTGGGTTATGGTGGGTTTTGGTGGGTTTTGGTGGGTTTTGGTGGGTTCTGGTGGGTTCTGGTGGGTTTGGTGGGTTTGAGGGGTTGAGGTGTTGGGTGGGTTTGAGAGTTTGGAGCGGTTTATACGCCATCCGGGTGTGTGCACATGGGTGTGCGCGTGTTTTTGATTTGGGGGGACCCCTAAAAGAACAGGGCTCCCTACATATGTCCTCTTGAAAGATCACCGCAAACATCACCGCTCCAAAAAGAGAGACTAGTCAATCCTGAAAGGACATTGGGGGTTTGGGGGTGCTTTGGGATGGCATAGTGGCTCTGTATCCCATGGGACCCGGTGGACACCATCAGTAGACCTGTCAGGTAAGCCCAGGAAGCCCATTTCTGCAACCTTCGGAAGCAACCCACGAGACTTGGGATAGTGCAAAGCCGGAAAGTTAGTAAAGGACAGTAGCCGTAGCGGAAAGAGCCGCTTTGCTTCAGGGTTTCAACCGGACCTTTGCCCGGTGTTTTCTGTGACCTCAGGTCGGGTTGGGCTGCTTAACAGTGGGGGTTGCAACCCACGAAGTCAAAGGGCACCCCCGAACCTGTCGAGCACTTTGAGCAGTTTGCATCAGTTCGGCCAGTGAACCAGGAAGTGCAACCAGATTCAGTTGGGATCAGCGGTGGCGAGGTTCAAGCCTTCATCATCTTCATCCTTCTGCCCGCTTGCGAAAGGAATTAGGGCCTTGACGATTGGAAGTCGATTGAGGCTTCCCCCCTTCTCCCCAAGCAACAAAGCACGATCCATTTGGGTACTTCTTCTGCTTCTTTCTTTTCAGGCTCGGTCCCCTTTTCGGGTTGGTGCTTCCGGAAACCGAAACAAACCCCACTCAGTCTGGGTCCTTTGATTTTCGCACGCCCATTTCGTCTCATGTTGGTAGGTGCTCGAGTGGCGGTCTTCGTGAACGAGTTCGGGGCCACCGACATCGACGGGGACCTGATCCGATGGCAGGGGAGCATCGATGAAGCCAGGCGCGGCGCGGGGAGGGACCGGTTTCTCCATGTCCCTTTTGGGTTTCAAACGTTCTTGGCCCAAGAAGAACGTGGAGATGGTTTTGCTTTTTGGGGGGTCCCCTAATTAGTTTGAGGCGTTTTGAACCTTCCGTTAGGTGAGTTTCGCTTGGGATCGGGGTGATGGTTTGAGCCATGCATTTTCATGCTTGTCCCTTCCTCAATGGTTACATGGGATCTCTATGTATTTCTGATGTCCACCTCCCCCCAATTCGCATTTCGAGCCCATCAATAAAAAAAACTCTTTCTGCTTTCCCATCCAATCGCTGGCCCCCAAAACCGTCCTCGTTTCGTGTTTCGTCAGGGTGGTGACGCTGGACAACGGCTGCATGTGCTGCGAGGTGAACGATGACCTCGAGCGCCAGCTTCGTCGAGTGCTGCAGGCCGGCGCCAGCTTTGGTTTCCGCTGAACGTGTTTCGTCCTTTTTCGGTCATGGGGGGGGTCTCTCTCACTCTTTTTTTCTTCAGATGGCGGCTTGCCTGAAAACGGGATGGCTGGCAGATTCGGAAAAAAAGAGAGTCTGTTTGCTTTTGTCTTTTCAGGTCTGTTTTTTGTTCGATCCGGTTGGTGGCTTGGATGCTTTGAGGATTCGAACTGGGAAACAGCTCAGCCTCCAAGTGATCAGTTGGAGGGAAGCTGATGATTCCGAACTGAAAGTTTCTCAAGCTGGACGAAACTAAAGATGGCCTAGATGGCCAAGTTGCAGCTGTTTTTTCTTTCTCTTGACACAATCAACCCTACAACCAGTCGCAGATGATGTGAACAAACAGCAACTGGCGCTCCAGCTGGTTTCCATTTGGTTGGCAAAACAGAGAGAAAGCGCAAAGAGGCCGAGGATTGACTTCTTTGTACTTTTCCTTCGATAAAACGGCGTCGCCATTTCAAAATTCGTTTAAGCTGGTCCAAGGCGCAAGCGGCAGGCAGCACAGCATTGGCCTGGCGCCCAAGGGGGGCTGAGCGACCTCTTCATGGCTCTGCTAAAAGGGACGGCAAGCCCCTGATCAATGATGCTGTTTTGCAACTTTGCTCTGATTCTGGAAGTTCAGCCCGTCTTTCTCAGTGGATCCTAGTAACCCCGGTGGTGGATCTTGTTTGGGGGAGGGCTCGGCGAAGCAGATTCGCTCATCGGCTCGCAGATTTCTATGGGTCGTGCTGATGGTCGCGTCACGCCAAGCCAGCCGCGGCACGTGTGGCTCAAGAGAATCTTGCCAACCCCATTTGCTTGGCCGATCTGGTTGGATCGCCTCGAATCTGCATGGGGAATAATTCATCCCGCCGCGATGAGGAGCGTAGTCGAGCCGCGTGGCAGGAGGCCCAGCGACTGCAGCGGCAGCTGGCGGAAGCTCAGCGCCAAGCGATGAGAGAGGAGGAAGAGCGGCGCAGGCCGAAAGCAGCCCTGGCCACCTCACACGAAAGAGGAGGATGTTTCAACCATTGAGCGCCCAAAAAGCGATTCCCAGTGACAGTAAGTTCTACTGCGAGGCCTGGAGACCTGTATAAACACAGTAGAACCAAGAGTTCAAGAGCATTTCCAGGTCTATGTGTTGATGATTATATATCACCTACACAAGCTGGAACCCAACCCTGACGAGGCTTTGGGAGATGGCCGAGCAGCAAGCGAGGGAGCAGCAGCGGCGCCAACAGGCTCCGTGTCGTCAAAGAAATTGGAAACCGAAAGCGCACTATGCTATGCAGGTTCCAAAGACATGTTCACCAACTATACAGTAGAAGCTTTCTTGGCCGTTGTTGGCGTGTGCGGCCGGCTCCTCTCGATTCTGGCTGGCTGCCCTGCAGCCTGTCTTGCAGTTGTTCTTGGATGTAGTCTCATTTGTGCTTGGTGTGCTGTGGGCTGTAGAGTTTCGCTTGGCGCAGGTGCCTGTCTTGCATTTGTTCTTGAATGTAGTCTCGTTTGCGTTTCGTGTGTTGCAGACTGTTGGTTGACGCAGGTGCCTGTCTTGCACTTGTTCTTGGATGTAGTCTCGTTTGCGTTTCGTGTGTTGCAGACTGTCGGTTGACGCAGGTGCCTGTGTTGCAGCTGTTCTTGGATGTAGTCTCGTTTGCGTTTCGTGTGTTGCAGACTGTCGGTTGACGCAGGTGCCTGTGTTGCAGTTGTTCTTGGATGTAGTCTCGTGTGTGTGTGTGTTGTAGACTGTCGCTTGACGCAGGTGCCTGTCTTGCAGTTGTTTTTGGATGTAGTATCGTGTGTGTTTTAGTGTGCTGCAGACTGTCACTTGACGCAGGTGCCTGTCTTGCAGTTGTTCTTGGATGTAGTCTCGTGTTCGTTTTGCGTGCTGCAGACTGTCGCTTGACGCAGGTGCGTTGCAGTTGTCTTGGATGTAGTCTCGTGTGTGTGTTTTGTATTGTAGTCTGTCGCTTGAAGCAGGTGCCTGTCTTGTAGTTGTTCTTGCATGCAGTCTCGTGTTGGTTTTGTATGTTGCAGACTGTCGGTTGACGCAGGTGCCTGTGTTGCAGTTACTCTTGGATGTAGTCTCGTTGATTTTTTGTTGTTCTTGGATGTAGTCTCGTGTGTGTCTTGTGTTGTAAACTGTCGCTTGATGCATGTGCCTGTTTTGCAGATGTTCTTGGATGTAGTCTCGTTTGTGTGTTGTGTTGTTCTTGGATGTAGTCGTGTGTGTGTGTGTTTTGTGTTGTAGACTGTCGCTTGCCGCAGGTGCCTGTCTTGCAGATGTCCTTGGATGTCTGGTGTGTGTTTTTGCGCGATGTGTTTATGTGTTTGCTTTGTTTGGCCCAGTTTTTAGCCTTGGTTGTTCCCCCACCCTCCTTCCTCCTTCACCCCCTCCCCGATTTGGCGAGGAAGAGCTGGCGCGGCGCGAGGCAGCGGCCAGGGCGCAAGCCGCAGCGGTCGCGCAGCGCGCGAGAGAAGCGCAGGACCGGCGAATTTATGGTCAGATGGCGAGCCCCTGTTTGTTCGGTGTTTGAAGGGAAGCCAAAAGGGTGTTTGCTCATGAAACCTGCAATCAAGTAAGGGTGTTGGTTTTGGATATTTTTATCCCAAGTCACCAGATCACCAGGGTATTTGTCTTGGGGTGGGATGCGGGGTTGGGGTGGGAGGGCGCAACTCCGAGGTTGGTTTCCTCTTAAAACCAGCCGATTTCAACCATTGCGTATTTGGAGAAGGAGTTACATGGGTTCTCAATACAAAAGTTCCCAAAAGGGTTCCTTCTAGCATTCCAACCAAAGGGTCCACCATTTTGAACATCCATATTTCTTGTCTTGGGAGGGACGAGAAGGCGGACGACGGACGAGCTCTAAATTTCGCCACAAAACCTGGGGACACTGCAATGTCCAACAGGGTGATAGTATAGTACATGTTGATCCACGTTTTCATTCTAGCCGACCCGCGTTCCTTTGTGGACCCACTCATTTATTGTCACGAGCCCTCCTTATTTGATTCCCAACGATGGGTATGTGTACCAAGCTGATTGCTTGGTTTCCCTTCGCTTTCATGGTTCCTGGTCGCCTTTTGGGCGCAACAAAGATTTCTCGATCCTTGGCATCTTTTTTTAGAGCCTTGCCCAAGCCGAACCTCTAGCGGGATTTCAGGTCTCCACTCATTGGTGGATTGAAAAAAACCAAATTTGGTTTCTTAACAGGACCTGGGGTTCAAGCCCCCCAAGCCACCAATCCAACGCTCTAAGGTTTGATCTCCCATTTTCTTCGGCCATCGTTCTCTTTAGAAACCATCCATTTTTCAGGGTTTGGCACATTGAAGAGAAGGTTCCGTGAAGAGAATGGGGAGGGTACAGCTAGAAACGCACCGGTTTAAAAGAATGGACAAGGAATCAACCCCTAGAGTGGTTGAATGAACCCAGGCTTTGGTCCCCTTTCTCAGGAAACCACCACTGGGATGTCACCAAAGGGGTAGCTGAGGATATGTGCCCAAATGGGGTCAATACTCTGTGGGTGTATTCCCGGGGTGAAATACACAAACCCTTAGCAAAGGGGGTAGCTGAGGATTGGCCGCGGCCATGACCACGGTTTCGTCAGGAGGCCGAGCGCTTGGCCAGGCTACGCTTGGAGGAGGAGCAGCGGCAGCGCGCGGCGGCGCAGGCGGAGCAGGCGCGGCAGCTGCAGCAGGAGACGAGAGCGGCGTTGGGGCCGGCGGCTCGGGCGGGTGGTTTGGCCCAAGAGCCAAAACAAAAACCCACCGTAGAGGAGCCCAAACCACGAGCCAGGAATTGTTTTGGAGATGAGATGGGGCTTTGGGGATTTGATAGGCCAACACCAGAACTCAACCGAAGTTTGGTGCATCTTTGGGATGACCAGCCAAGACCACAATCAAAACTGAGACACTGTCCCTTTAAACACCCGACCCAATCCAGAAGGAGCCTCTTTGTGAGTGCGTCAGCTCCTTGATTTCCCAGGCCTTAGGCAATGGAAGGAGTTGCTTGGCCTCGGTCGGGGGGGGGGGTGCTCTTGGCTTCCGTCTAGAGAAAGCCCACTTGAGTTACTTGACATGGAATCTGATTGGAGGTGCCATCTCCTCGGGCTAAGGGCCTTAGCCCGGTGCTTCGTTTGCAGAGCATCTAGCAGCACGCCTTTTGGAGTTCGCGTTTCAAAGGAAGCAACGAAGCAGCCATCAATCCATTTTTAGTTGGGGCCGACTCGGGTTGGGATTTTCTTGAAGGGGCTACAACCAAACTCAACAGGCACCCATCAGCATTTAGCCCCTTTTGAAGTGCTCCCTGAAAAAAGGCAACTGCAATCGACTGACAAAATTCGAGAACCCAATTGGGCATGCATCCAACTTGGTTGAAAGCCCCATTGAAATGGAACTGACAACCCTGGAAGCAGGACCACAGTCAGGATACCATTCCTTGGGTTTGCGGGTTGGGAAAGCTCTGAAAGGGTTCCGAGCAGGTTGCAGGCAGGTTGTGGGCGGACTCCGGCTAGTATTTTGGTTTGGCAGGTTCCGATTGTTTCGGGGCAGCTCTGGGGAGGTTCTGGGAAATAAATTTGGATCATGGGTACTTTTCTTCTTGACAGTTGCTTCTACACATTGCTTCTCCATCCTCTTCACCCATCCTGTTCTCCAAATCACCCCGCAACCGCCTGCTTGAGTCTTTTCATCTTCCAAGAATTCCATTCACAAACGGGGGGCTACGGCCTATGTGAGGAGAAGGAAGCTGCAAAACGCCGCGTCCAAGAGGAGTTGCAGCGTGAGCGCGAGCGGGTGCACGCTGAGAAGCTCGAGCGTTGGCAGCGGCTCAATCGCGACTACCCCCTGCCAAACTTCCTGCAGCCGTACGTGAGCCACCCGCCTGGCATCATTTCCCTTTCAGCTTTCAAGAAGTTGTCACCTCTTGCAAGGGGTCGGATCCGTTCGGCGTCCCGTGTTTTCATCAAAGTCACCTTCAAGTAGTACCCCGGAAACGAAACAATGGACATTTTGGGGGGCGTTTCCAATTTCGGAGGCTTTCGCCTTCCATAGTTCTTCTGGGCTTATGATTGGGCCTCGCAAGTGTCGACCCAGGCGGACCAGATGATGAACGCCAGGTCAACATGGCCTTCCTGGGGAATTCCGGCAAGGGGAAGTCGTCTTTGATGAAGGCACTGGGGGTGAAGTTCCATCAATCAACCGTACGTGGGAATTCCTGGGAACAGAGTGGGAGTCCCACTTTGGTATCAGAGAAAGGTGAAGTTGTAAGCAACTAATCAAGGGGCACTTCCCCCACTTCCGCTTGCTAGGCTCCAGTTGAAGTGAGTGAGCTTTGATTCTTTCTGTCATATGAGGTTTGGCCCGAATTTCCAGCAGTCCGTGTTCGACGGAGAGCAAACCATTTTCACGGTGTATGGATTGCAAAAAGCCACCCGCGTCTTCCAGGCCTTGTTCAAGCATCTGACCGGGCGCGAGCTCTTGTGCCTGAAAGTGTCTCTCCAATCGGATGCTTGGCGGTAGCCGCAGATGTTTCT